AATATCAATCAGGGTTTTACCCGCAAGCCCAAGCAACCAGAAGTTACGGGATTCTTGAAGCCAAAATTTCCTTTTCACTTAGCCACATTTAATATCCGCACACTGTAACAGATTGATCAACAAGCTGCATTGACGAGAACCCTCGAAACTTTCAGTTTAGATGTATATTGTGTCTCCGAAACTCGCATACAAGACTCCACTTCCATTATTTCCCTGCGTTCTCCTAACCCAACCTCAATCTCACTCTTCACCCTCCATGTGTTAGGCGATTGGGTATCCGAAGCTCGCGGTGTTGCTAGTGTTGGGATTGCGCTAAGTGCCAAAGCCGAGCGTTTGCTTCTTGACTGGATTCCAGTCAGTAGCCGACTTTGCGCTGTACTTCTCGACGGTTCAGCACGGGTCAACAGCTACAGAATGAAGTGTCGATGCTTGTTCGTCGCATTGGTGTATTCACCGATCGATTACAGTACACTTGAAATCAAGGATGAATTCTACAAGGACTTCTCTCAATTGCTCCAAAGTGCTAGGTCAACTGACATGGTGGTACTCGCTGGAGACTTCACTGCCTAAGTGGAATCCCTGGACGGATCAGAAAGGCTTCTCGGCGGACCGCATGCAATCCCAGCCAACCGGACGGACAACGGAGCTCGCCTATTGCAACTCCGCACGGACCACAGATTGTTCCTGTCAAACACGAACTTCTCGCACAAGAAATGACACCGACTTGCATGGAGCCTACCAATCTCTTCACTGCGCTGGACCCAAATCGACCACATCGCTATCAGTTGCCGATGGAGAGGGTCGATTCAAGTCTGCCGTTCTTACTGGACCACATCTGTGGATACAGATCACGCTTTGCTACGAGTCAAATTCTCCTTACGCCTGGCAAACAACCGCAAAAAAGCCGCCGTCAGCGGATACCCACGATACAGCGTCAGCGATTGCTGCAAACCGGCCTTCGAAGCGGAACTCTCCGATCGACTATCAGCTCAATCACCAGCCGAAGGACTCAACCAGCACTGCAAATATCGGCAAAAACGATGTCGATCCCTGCCGCAAGCTCAAAACACAAACAATGGATCTCGACTTCAACTGCCTTGATGGACGCCCGCAGAACCCTCCCTCCCGATGCCACATATTACAAAGCACGAATCCCTCAAACGCCAGCTCATCCAGAGTCTGAGGAATGACCGCGAGAAGTGGTGGGTAGGAAAGTGTTAAGAGATAGAGGAAGCTGCTGCTATCGGTAATAGTCGCAATCTTTTCCGTCCAATTACGAATGCTGGTCCTACGAAATAAGGCGTGAGATAATTAAGAAATCCGATGGCACACTTATTCACGATCAGCTACACCGTCTTGACCGTCTGGCTGAACATTTCGAGGCTCATTTCAAATGGCCCCCATCGACATCTAAACCAATAGCCAAAGTCCAGTCCGAGATCACCGCAGAAAACGGTGTTCGTCACGGTTACCCTCTCTACCCGTTTCTATTTAACTTTGTTATAGATCTGATTATGCAAACAGCCCTATCCTCGAGCGAGAATAGTGGCATCGATTTACTCCCAGGTGCCAGACGATATTGATCAAACCTATTCCTCTGTTGTTCTCACAAGAGGACAAAAGACAGAAATCAAAACCGGTGCACAAAAGTGCATGGTTATTGGTTGTACAAACTTAACTGAAGTTAACATTGAGGGTGCTGGTTTTTGATGCTAACGGCTAGGAACTGTCATGGCGAATGTTTCCATCGACAATTTTGGTTTGGAGTTCGGTTCATCATTGAAGACTGTCGGTTTTAGCTGGTTTGCGTGCGGCACCCACACTAGAGAACCAACTGATATTTTGTAGATGACCTTTCCTCGGCGTCGATATACTCTGCCAAATGTCCGCCTTTCTTCGTTATTGCGGTAGTCCCTCGCCAAAACGTTTTGACGGAGTGTGATAAGTTGGCGCACGGACGTGCCAATCAATTAGATTGCGTCCATGGCATATCGATTGATCAGTCGTACAAACATTGGCTGATTCGTTCTGTGATCATCCCATCGGGATCAGCTTGTCTGGAGCGTTGCGAGCGTGCGTGTGGCCTGACTCGGAGGTTTGCGCGATCGGACGGGTTGCCTAAGCTCCGTCCTAACAGTTCAAAAGGACGAATGATTTTGCTTCACGTTCAGTGGGAGATGTCCCTGCATAGTTAAGCAGTCAAGTGGTTAGGTCACCAACTTGTGACCTGGGAGTCCCGGGTTCAAACCGCTCCATCTCCGTCCGTCTTCCCTATTTCTGTATCTTCCCAGGCAACCTTTGTATGACTGCGGCCCCCCTTCCTGAATGTTGACTGTACATTTGTATATTCAGTGAATAAAAAGAGGAAGTAAAAGTCATTTATTTATAGCCCTTAAAATCACCCAATAATATGAACTGAGCTTAAGGGTCGGCTTCAACGATGGTCTCAATGTGTGCCAATTAAATATCACACCCTTTAAGGGTCACAGCTATTGAGAGAACGGTGTACAGTGCATAAATAGTGTTGAGAAACGGTTCTGAAGTTCAGCCATACCGTGCGGAGCTCGCTTTTGGTAAGATCTAAGTGGTCAACCGAGTAGAAGCAACTGATTGATGTATAAATGCACAGACTTCAAACTTGGGGATGAATGAGGTGTGAAGAGAATAATTGGTGACTTGGGTGGTTTCTTTAGTGGGTGAAAGTTGGGTTTCGGTTACAAATAGAGCAAGAAGGGGAGTCGATATACAGAATTAATAATATGGTTCGAGCCGCGAGTGTTGGTGAGTGCGAGAGAGGGAGAATATACTTCAGAAGTAATCCTGTTTATCGTAGTATCCACAGTGAGCTGACAGACAACCGGCAATCTGACCCTTTAACCTACAGTGGCAAGCCACATGAGGTTCCAATGGTTAGGTACTGATACTAACCCGGATGGCAGCAGAACTATCTATCACTCCTAAAAATAGTGTATTAGAAAAGTGAGCATCAGGTGGGCTTTCGGTACGCGGTGTCAGTGCTAATCAATATTAGACCAACTCAAAATTGTAGCTACGTTTCACTCCTCAAAGGGGCGGTCATTATTATTGTTATTAATAAGTTTTATGTCAAATAGCTAAACGCCTCGTCTGAAGGCAGAACTGAACCTCGGATATTCGTGTATAGTGGTGGTGCTTTTCTAGGTGCTGCTCTGTCTCCGCTCTTGTTCTCATTTTACATCAACAATTTTCTTGATGCTCACAATTTCATCGACTGTAGACATGCCGGCGGGGTAGTTATTATGTGTGCTCTTACAAAACTAATGGAGTTTCATTTTCCACAAGATAGTTCTCAGTTTCTTATGCCGTTCTCTTGGATCCAACTCCAAAAATTGTGGATGTCCTCTTCAGTCTGGCTCCCGGACCCAATGCAATGATTTATTAGTCTCTGTTGTCCCGTTATATATGAATACAATTCACCCAGTGTCAAGTACCTTGGTTCTAATCTCTCCTGATTTCCTTATTTTGACAACATTTCTAAAATGTTCAGCGATCATTCTTTTACTCATTCCCAAAATAGTTATCCTTAGGTTTATAAATGCCTGCATTCTTCCCCACTGGCTGTTATTTTTCTAATCTATTTTCCCCGTCCAAAACGAAGGAACTTTATCCTTTTCTCTGAATCCCTCAAATCTCTTTTGAGATGTGGTGATGCAATCACGGATGTCATTCGTGGACACTTCACTGACTATGAAATATTCATTGATAGAATATCATATGACGAAAACCATTATTTGCATGTATGACAGAGCCAGAGCGCAATTTGCTCATCCCAGTTGACCAGGACATTTTGAACTTAGTCTGTGGGGTTTCGCGTCTATCCTTTTGGGTTCTGTGTAACATTAATATCCTATGTCTAATATCATTCAATCTACTGGTTCGTATCCGAGACGCGTCCATTCCGTTTTGTCCACATTTAGTTATGTGTTTGTGGATATCGGGATCGATTTGGCACATTTCGTGGACACCGTGAAAGCAAACTTCGACCCGGACACACGTCTGGCCTTAGTGGCCACAATCCAATTTGTCACGAGTTTGCAAACAGCTAAAAAAGCAATGGAACAGCATGGATTCCGTGTGTGCATTCCGCACTGTCCTCCACTGTCCCCCGGCGAACTGTTGGGATGCACATCACCCCGAGTAAGTAACTAACCCAAATGGTAATCGTCGGAGTTCTCACAAACTTGGACCAGTTGAGTTGCACACTGCCGACGAGACGTCCGGAGGTCAAAATAGCTGTGCATTGTTTTCTAACTTTTTAGTTCGCGTTTTTCCCCACTCTGAATGCGATGAAGCTCGTGAAACACAATTCAGTCGTGTACTGCTCTAAAAAAGTACACGGGTTCTAAATAATTATTCATACAAATCATTAACCATAATGATTTTATCCCACTTTGGATAGAAATCGAAATCACATTCGGTGTTGTGTCAAACATCAAACGAGGCTTGTGCTATCCATACCTTAGTCCGTTGGATGAAATCATCAGATCTGATCGGTTGATTGTGTCTACGGTAGATTACCATCGGTCTTACTTCACTGGTCTGTAGATGCAACACCTTTGATTTGAGGCACATGTCATCTCTTTGCTCGCCACTATTTACCCAACTCTCGCATTTGACTCTAACAATCTTGCGCATGCTACACTGCAGTAACGTGCTCGAACTGTGAACTAAACCCTGTGAAAGGTAACCGACGTTTGCGAACCTCGGTGAGGTAAACTACTCTGTGCCATGACAACTGATCTTTAGTGGGCAGACGAAACCTACCACTCCTGATCCGACAGTCATAAAGGGAATCAGTTCAAATAAAATGGATGCATGGAGTAGCTTTGGGACGCAACAGTAAAACGGCTCCTATAGAGTCCTTGTTGGCAACCGTGCACCAACACACATTTCTCTAGCAGTCTGCACCTACTTTAGTAAAGCCCAAAGGCACGTCCTCGAAAAACGCTGGATGAAGATCGGTACGTCTTTTGAACTCCCGTGCTCTTTATCAGGCTTACTTATACTATTAGAGAAGTCGATAAATGACAACACCGCCTTTCATTCAAAACTGTCAATAGAGAATTCGTGTATTTGGTTTTGCACAGTGTATTCGGGGTCGTTCCATTGTATTTTTCGCGGTGTCCAAATAGTAAGTGTAATGCACTGAATACGAGATGACAACAGTCGGTAGTTGCTCGGGAGAGAGAGAGAAGATTGAGAGCCCAGAGGTGTAAGGCTTTATTCGTCTAACAACCCTGGCATATAGGCTAAGACGTATAAAAGAGAAATGTTATGAATACAGCGATATGCAGTAGACAAGGAGTGTTATACACGACATTCTCCCCCGGTAAAGAAAATGTTGTCAGGCCTCTCTGCTTCTCAAGTTATACGGGCGATTTCGTTGCTGTAATTCTAAAAGTGAAGGTTGTTGGTTATTCGCGGATTGGGGAGAGTTTGCAATACGAGGTGAAATAAAATCATCTGTAGATTCGTTGTGTGCACTGTCAATAGGGGCATTATTTGATATAGGTTCGATGAATGGAGTTTCGGGGACTGATGATGGACACGATGATGGTACAGGGGCTAGATGATGAATGGACACCGTTTCTTCCCTACCGTTTGGAAGTCTGACCTGGGCGTATCTTGGATTACACTCAATCAGCTCTACCTCGTCAACCAATGGCTCGTACTTTGATACCCGAGGGATGCGCTTCATTAAAACCGGCCCACGAAGTCAGCCAACTTGGCAGTGATTCGCCGGATGTGGACTTGCGATTATACTTAAACAGACGCTCATGAGGGGACTAGTTTGTAGCGGTACACAAGAGGGAACGAAGAGAATGTAAAACATCAGGGAGAAGAACTTCCCAATCACTGCAAGATAAAGATCTGGATTTTGCGGCTAGGGCGATTGCACGCCAAAGTGTACCGTTGAACCTGTCCGTTACTTTGCGGGTTGTATGCGGTGGTTCGGCTAGTTACGATTCCTTTAGCATGAAGGAAACGCTTTAGTTCCTGTGACATGAATGAGGAACCACGATCGGTGTGGATGTAAGAAGGTGTATACAAATACAGAAAATAATTGACAGAGGTGATTGATAACGGTAGTAGTTGTCATATCGGTACACGTAAATGCGAACGGGAATCGCGAATATTCATCAATTATTGTGAGTAAATATTTGTTACGTGTATGTGATGGTATTGGTTCCTTGAAATCTATATTTAGCCTCTCAAATGGAGCGGTGGCCTTGATAAGGTTCGCGGTGGTCAGTTTGCAAAATTTCGGTTTTAATTCGGAACACACTATACACTGGGCGATAGTGTTTTTCACGTCTTGTGCAGAATAAGGTAGATTTCGGGATCTCACAAAATGCAGAAGACGCACGACACCAGGATGGCATAGAGAATTGTGAAGCTCCTTTAAGGACACGGTAGTCAATGTGGATGTGATGTACACACGAGAGAGTGTCAGCAACTACATTTTCTTTGCCTGGACCATGTGATACGTCGAAGCTGTAGCAAGACAGTTCGATTCTCCAGCGCTGTATTTTCTCGTTTTTCACTTTCCCTCTCCGCTGCTTGTCATACATGAATGCTTTCAACGATAGATGAATACATACGACGAGTCTTTATCTCCCTTACAAGCAATTTTCTCGAACTTATATTTAAACCGACTGGGTGCGCTTGTTAGCCACAATCCCGTTGTTTTCCTTTTTCTAAACACCTTTGAGAGATTAGCAGTAGGGTGGGTGCATCTGTCAAGCAAAGCGCTGCGCTCTCTTACCAACTTTGTCGGTATTATGGTCCGCCACGGATTTAAGTAATCGACTGGCTCCAATTCGGTGTACGTGCTGATTTTATCGGTACTACTTGATGATCATGCTGCCCGATTACTTCTGTTTGGCTTCGATCTGTTTTCCTTCGTGTAAATCCCAATGTTGTTTACTCATTCAGAGCTGTCCAACCAAGTAGCACATTTCGACTTGTTTGTTTGAATCCCAATCCCACAGTGCTCAGTATTGACTGAGTGAGATCACTGTGTGGGTAACACTGGGCCCCAGGCACCCATGATACAAACCATGTTGGTTAAAGGTGCGGTATTCGTCGCACATATTATAACAGCTCAGGTGTGTTGTCGTATGCTTTACTTCCTCGACCATGTACACTTAGTTTTGAGTTTAATCTGACGAATAAAGTGGTTTCGTTTAGCGCGCTAGTATTTTTGCCAAACTAGTAGTTTGTAACACTGACTGATATTTTTATTGTGTCGTTCTTCAACAGTGTCTTTCTTTAAGCAATGATCACTATTTGCTTGTGAATTAAATGCGTCAAGATGACTTTATTCTAGAATTCAATTCGCATGCATTAAGAAAACCACTGACCATACATCAGACCAATTGGGTTCCTGCATTATTTGTTGTGCTTGCTCATAAACGACTGACCGTTCTGCCCCTGTTTCCTGTAAGCCTATAGCAAATTATTTTGAGGTATACACACGTGGTTAACACTGCTGACCCCGTCGATGGTTATCTGTCTCAGATCACGCCAGTCACATTTATACTTCCAGCTACATCCTGAGAGGTGAGGCGGGCAAACCGTTCGCCTTTGAAACAAAATTAATCATCACTGTGCTTGTCTCCTTCCCGGCTTGACCCTTTCCGAAAGTGATATCTTCACTTGAACGAACGTCGACCGGAGAAACACTGCATGTCCGGGTTCCCATCGGTAAACCTGCTCTGCTGGCGCTTCCTAACAGAAAGAAAACATTTGTTAAGAGCTTCCAAGGCATCCTAGTGATATTCGTGATCTGTTGGTATCGCATAGCGAATAACTTCATACCACGTATTGTATGCTCCTGTATATATTGACTGATTACTTTTAGGCTTTTTTCCGGCATTCTGATTTGATTTACTTTGAATCAACGTCTTGCTTCCTTTTTCGTTTATTGGCTATACCAATGTGCAGTCAGCATTCGGGTAAAAGGTCCACTACCGCACAAAGGATGCGTGGGAAAATACAGATATGTGGAATATGTACGGCGGTGTTAGGGTTTGAACTCGCTACTGATGATTTTGATTATCTTACCCACTACCACCCATTGTGGTTATGAACTTCGACTAGAAATGATTTTCCACTATTTCTTCCTTTTAGATTCAGAATGCCGATGCTGTTCTATATCTCGGGGATGGTCGTTTTCATCTGGAGTCAGTTATGATTGCCAATCCTCTGCTTCCTGCCTATCGATATGATCCGTATGATAAGTCCATCACTCAGGAATTCTATGATCACAAGCTAATGCGACAAAGGCGCAAGGCGGCGATCGATGTAGCCAAGTCAGCCAAACGTTTCGGGCTGATTCTGGGTAGGTTTACCGGTGTCGGGCCTCACCTCTCTTTGGCCACAGCACAGTCTGTATAAAAATGTCTTTCACCGATGAATTTCTTTTCGATTAACTGTAAATTTCGTCTTTTAAGTGCTCGGCTCAACTCCGACCTGACGACTAGATAATCGAAATCGCTATACTTTGCAACGAAATCCACATTGAACTAATACGATCGTCTGGGGACGCTTCATTTTGTAGTTTTTCCCGTCCTCAGTTTTCTCCTTGTCCTCGTGCACATTTGTTGTCATTTATCGTTTCCCAATGATTGTTTGAGTGGGTGGAGGACATTTGCCGGAGTTAGACTGCGTGAGTAATGTTTTGCTAATGAGTAAAGACCGAATAGTTTGTCAACTGCTATATGTAGTCTGAACGACAGTGTAGCAATATCTAGCATTTGTTTCGCGATTTCAAGAATAGCGCGGACAACTTTGAACACTTTTCACTTGCACGAAGCGTGAAGGGCTTCGATGATCTAGATCAACTCCGGTGTCCCTATTGGCTTTCAGAAGCAGGATTCGAGCGGTTCCCCTGTTCTCCATTCGTAGTTATCGGTAGTTTCTGTGGTCGAATTGTAGCTTCCGGTTCTCCTTAGTACCTCCTAACGACCCTCGAACCTCAAACCATGGGGTCCAAAGCACGTCGGTGACAGCGACTAAACCACCGCTACTCCGTGCAACAGTAACAATATAAAATATCCTTTTCTCCTTATTTATTTCATCAACACAAGAAGACATGTGGGCAGAATTGATATTGAACATCAATTTCGCGTGCTTTTATTCAGCTGTAAACGCATATTTATATCATCATGAAGAAACATGAGGGTTGAAATGAGTCATTTGAACAAGGTGGTGGACAAGTGAGTTGCGTGATTTGTGTTTGGTTCGGGGTTGAGGTCAAATTAGATAACAGAATTTGATATGGAATTGAACTGGTCCAAACAGTGTGGTGGAGGGAAGGTCCTGCCACACTTTGGTAGGGTAGTCTCAAATGTGACATCATTACCACGGCGGCAACAGTTGCGTCACAAATGTTTTTTGAACACATAATTGCGGTTTCAAGCGATGAATAATTATCGCTGCTAAAAATCGCAAAGTCCGTAAACTTTGAGTTCTCGCGATGGCTCGAAGCGCTTTGGGAACGTCTACACGGTGACCGGAGTCTAACAAATGCCGGACAGTTGCATTAGATAGTAGTCTCCGTCCGCGAAGTTCAAGGTATTTCGGAATATGTTCACACATTCTGGTTGATAAACGACGTTCTGTCCTCCCGATGTACCGCTGAACGCGGGTGCATTGAAATGGACAGACACAGTTGGAGGTAATACTAACGTCGCGTCGATCCAGATTAGTGCGAATGAAAGAACGAAACATCTGGTAGGCCGTCATTAGTCTTGCGGCATTGTACGTTCTTTCCACGGCGTGTGTTACACAACGAGATATCTTTGTTGCCACATCATCTCCCTTGAAAGGTAGTTCTACACAGACATCTTACATCTTAGCTAATAAGGATAATTTGTAATGCAACTGTTGTTGCCGTGGTAGTAATCATGTCATTTAATACTAACCTACCGTAGTAGGGATGTGTTAACGCAATGGGCCAGTTTTCTTGACCCTGCCTTTTTTATTACACCGTATAATAAATCCTTATTCCCGAGAATCTTCTGTTCATTAATGGAAACCAGCAACCTAAGCTTCGGAACTTGAAGTGGGAAACCATATAAAATCCCGCTTCGGTTAGAAATGGTAGTGAATCGGACAACAGCGAAGCCGCCTACCATCAAAGTTAGACAGTATCGTCGGGGTTCAAATCTCAGACCTCGGGGCTCGAAGCATGCTGGTGATAGCAACTTCAAACTGCTCGACCATCACTGCCATTGTTGTTCCTCGCTGCCACCGCAGAGTGGTTTACCCCGATTGCCATACAATTTACTTCTGGGTTTTTTTCTCATGGTTTCATTCGGTCTGATATTACGTGTAGGCCGTTAGCAATGTGTGCTACTGAAACTGCCGTTTTGTGCTCACCTTTTTTCTATCAAATTAGACTTGTTCATTGCCTGAATTGTTGCTGTTTAGTGGAACTAGGTGTGACCGATTCTAGAAAAAAGTGTGTAATTTTTTTCCTTGTCCTTAGTTACTCTCGACCTCATTGCTAATTGCACGGGACCACTGTCCATCGAACATTCCGAATTTCATTCATGTGATGTGTTCACGACTGTGAATCCAGCTGTGCAGTTATCAAACTCTTTTTTATCATCAAACAGATCAACTTTTTTGATGAACATGATTGCAGTAGTTTTTTTCGTGTGCCAGGTTAGTGGTATTCGTTCACTCACACTCGTCAATCGCCCGATTTACAGTGGTTTTCCTTTCCTTCTTATCATGTCGGGACGCTTGAGAGTGTAAGTAATTTACGCACAATGTGTATCGCCCATAGATAGAGGTTCATTTTCTTATTCCCTCCGTATTCATCTCATATTCTTTCTTTATCGGGTGGTGGTGGCCCAGTGGTTTAGCCGCTGTCACTGGCATGCTTTGAATCCTATGATCCGAGGTTTGAGCCCCGCCACCCAACTTTGGTGGTAAACAGCTTTTCTGTTGTCCGGTTCAATACCACACGTAACCTAGCAGGTCGTTATGTGGTCCGCCACCCCAAGTCTCTGGACTCGGTTTACTGGTTTCCATCACTTAACTACCGATCCTCGTGAATACGGCTCTTTACCCGTCTGTTGTTCATCACACTAAGATGTGTAATAAAGGAATCTATTGCGATCTTGACAGGAATCATCGGAATTCGCTTCATTCCCATCTGGCGATCCTCAAGGAGACCGCGAAAAATGGTGAGCAACAAGAGCTAGTGAAATGGAAGTAGCAGCTGCATCAGGAAGTAATCAAAAACTGTCCCGACTGATACGCAACACGGGAGGTCGGCGAACACCAGTTAGCGAATAAAGTAGGCAACCTATTCACATTGGGGAACAAATGCTTGTCAGGTAGGCGGAGTACTTCAACAAACAGTTCAGCTGGTCAGGCGCTATCCAGATTATCTCGTCTATTGTAGTTGAGGCTCCGTGGACGGTGTGACGTAAACCTCGTAATAAGGCAGAAGTGCGATCTTGCACCAAGCTCTGAAGAAAGGAAAGGCAGCAGGATCCGACGGGCTT